ACTAAGCCTGTGTAATCGTGTATTTTATCGCAGTATGATTTTCCCAATGTTGCCGAGCCAAAGGAACAGGCTGAACAGGTTGGACTGTACTTGTAATAACAAGAGGAGACGTGACTTACAGGAAGCTGCTAATATAAGAGGGCCTGAAGAGGAATTGCACAGACCAGAGGCGATTTGGCTTTATGTATACAGTAAGAAAAAAACATGCTGATAAAATACTAAAAGGTCCCCATTAGAATGATTTTTAGGGCCGCCAGCAGCACTGAAGCATTAATAACTCTGGAAAAAAAAAAACTATAAAAAGCTTATACCTCTAACTCTCAGACTTAATATCACTAAGAAAAGACTAGTAGTTTTTTCTCTTCTCCAAGCTAAACACACGATAGCTGTCTTTTGGAAAAACCCAGAAAACCCCTCGATCAATCACTGGTTAAAAAATCTCTCTCATTGTTTAGCCTTAGAAAAATTGACATTTGCCATAAAGGGAAAGCCTGAAGCGTTCCATCAAATATGGGGGGAATTCTTGGAGTTTTTGGAAATAAATGTACCTCCTAATTGACCATGTCCTCTATAATGGTTGGATGTGATGTGGCTACTTGTCTGCCGGCTTTGTAACTTGCAATGTTTAAATTACAATATTTACCACATGTCCACTTACGTATATATGTGTATATATTTCTTTCTTTTTTTTTTCTTTTTTTTCCTTTCTTTCTTGTATTTTCTTGTATTATTATGTTTTTGATTTTTCTTTGTGGGATATATACTTGTGCAATGTCTTATGCTGAAAAAACGAAATACCAATAAAAATATTTGTCAAAAAAAAAAGCTTATACCTGAAGTATATAGAATTGAGTTCCAAGAAAAAAATATCAGGTAATATTGTGTACCTCACATGCATTTTAATAATAAAAACTTGTGGGGACCACACCAATTTTACACATGATTGAGTGCAACTCAGCCTTGGAACATAGTTAAATAACATCTTGAAGGGTGTATGAAGAAATGACTAAATACCTTAAAATGATGCCATCTTATTGTATTATTCAGTGGCATCATGGGACTTGTAGGATCCAGCATTTATGGAGCTGGACCCAAAACAGGGATTCAAAATCTGAATAAATGCTTTGATTTTTGACTCCATTGAAGTGCAATTTTATTTATTTAATGATTTAATTACAGAATTTGTGTATATAAAGTATATAGAGTTGTTGTACCGCAAAGGTCAATAGCAGGGTATAGATTCAAATAACATAAACATCAGGAACAGACCGGAAACCATACACAACCCACTCATGTTTTTGTTGACACATTGCAAACACACTTGTGAGTGTGTGATAATGAGTGATACAGTCAAAGAACATCTAACCAGACCCTCGGTGCAATCAGTATGCAGACACTCGCATGACAATCTGTTACTGATAATACTGTCAAATTGTCAGATAACACTGAGGACCCCCATGTACATCATGTACTTTTCATATGCTAAAAGCTCTCTTATCTGCCCGCATGTTCCTACCATACACTGTACAAGGTTCCTACACATATTTGCAGTATGCAAATTCCTGCAAGCAGCCAGAAAATGTGTATGTATAAACACGCATTAGCTCCTGCGAGAATGCAAAATCACCACAAAGTAAAAACACAAATGACTGCGCTGAGATGTACAGTCCATTATTGTCACAAACATACACACACACATGCACACACACACACACATAAATGGAGCAGGTGAAATGTGGCAGGTGTGCTGCTACAGTACATAAGGGTTGTGCATCACTTAGTCAGAGTAACAGCAGAAGTATATACGGGTTAAGAAAGTAAGATAAGATTTTAAGTACACACACACACACACACACACACACACACACACACACACACACACACACACACACACACACACACACACACACACACACACACACACACACACACACACACACACACACACACACACACACACACACACACACACACACACACACACACACGTCTCATTGGCTGCCCATCTACTATCCTTCTGTGAAAAGATGATGTCCAGAGTTAAAACAGGTTTTGCAACTGGATAATGATTGTGTATTTATTTGCAGAGAATGTGTGAATGAGTGGGTGTTGCATGTCATTACTGCATGACAAATTAACCCTTTATTTCCCCTAAGTTTATGTTTTAGTCATTCCACAACACAGAGAGCTGCTTGGAAACCACCTGCTGAGCAGAGACACTGAAATGAAGCGAGGTAGTGCAGTGTGAAACAGATTACTGTATGTAAACTGCAAAAAAGGGACTTTTAATCATAAAAAAACAACAATTTAGTTGCGATTTATAAAGAAAAACATAAATGGAATTTTAAATAATTGTTTGTTGTTACCGTCTGATGATAATCATTCTCACGATATTAGAGCGTGCCTTTTTATTTTTAATTTGGTCACACTTATTTCTTAAAAAAATGTATAATAAGTAGCTTTAGCTTTAATAGATGTACACCTACATGTTCCACTGTTTCATTGGCACTATAGTTGTGCATCATTTTATATATGTTTCTCTCTATTTGATACATCCGTGATTTAAGTGACACACAGAACTAATTCATCCGTCATAATAAACATCAGATAACAGGCTTTACAATTCTCATCTTTGAGCTTGAGACAGTTTCTCCCTGCCAGGATTTATGCACACTGGTCATATCAAATACTCAATGTTAAGCCCTTTTATTGAATTCTCTACAATAGTTTGAAAGTAAAGCTTTGAAGATATTATAATGACATGAAGTACTTCCTGGGTCAGTTAGTAAGTCCATGCAGATTCAGAAAGCTATTACTTTAAACATGTCATAATTGATAAAGGGGCACGCATTCAGATGGGGCAGCGCAGCATCTTTAAAAAAAAAATTTTGTTATTGAGTTGAATTTAATATGTGTAAAAAAAAATGTTTAGGTATTCCTTGAACATCTTTTGCACAGACTTTCTAAGCGATACAGCCAACAACGATGAAAAAGGGGCACCTCCGTTTGGCACAGGATTAGGCAACTTTTAGGTTCAGTGTTTCGGTGTTATTTTTTGCTGTGCGGTCACAACAGGGCAAACGAGAGGGGCACCTTGGTTTCTGAAGGGTACTTTGGCGTGCCCCACTCCCCCCAAGTCACAGCAGGCGCTGTGGAGGGCTACAGTAGTTCCTCTTTTTCTGAAATAGACAGAAGAATAGCGAGTACATTTGGTGGTCTTTATTGTGACATGTTGTACTTTATGTAGTTGGTAATAGTGTGGGGAAAAGAGAGGGAGAGTGAGAAATGTATCACATGCTGTCCTTCTTTTTGCTAAAGGTCAGGGCTTTGGACAGAATAACAGACACATGCTAAAAAAGTGTTACAGGACTATTGGATAAGAATTAATACTTATTTAGAGAAAGAAAGCATACACAGCAGATATAGCAGGGACTCAAAATGGGAGATTAACCCTTTCGGTGCAGAGCACAGTAGCCAGACAGAAAGGATGAGGCAGACAAAGCACACATACACCACAAGTTTCATTTTTCACTTTCTACACACACCTTTGCTCTTCATCTCAGAGCAGTGGAGTTTTCTTGACATTTTGGGAGGGTGTATCCCATGTTGTACAGTAAAAGCATCCGTTTCAATTGTACCTTGGCAATTCAATTCTTGAGAACAAAAATAAAAAGCTCTTTGTTTTTTTTATTTAGGGCTTGTAACTAATTCACCAGCACTTACAATGGTAAGACTTGCTAGAAGTGAATACATCTGCTCTTTCCTTGTTGTTCTGAGTTTGAATCTTGCACTTATTGTAAGTCGCTTTGGATAAAAGTGTCAGCCAAATGTTATGCAATTATAAGCTACCGGCGAAAAATGTCACGTAAAGTGCCTTTTACCGGTTTGCTTTTGGAGGTAGATGGTTATCGATATGATGGGAGTGGTTGGCTTAGTGTCATTTAAGGGGCATCAGAGGGGCTTTGTTTGCAGTGTCAATATTTACAGTGACACATGCTTGAGGACTACTGAATGACTGAGGGGAATTGTGTGTGTGTGTGTGTGTGTGTGTGTGTGTGTGTGTGTGTGTGACACATAGAAACACAGACAGAATCATAAACATAAATGGATGTAAGATGTAATGCTCTGATGAACAGATTTAAATCTTCAAAACTGAACTTTTATGATGTTCAGGAGTGTCTGTACTCTCATTTACCTCAAGTCATACTAAGAAAGTCTCAGGGGTGAATGAAGTTGAGTTGTAGCATTTAAATAAGGCCCATGTCACTCGAAAAGATCAAGTTTAGCAAAGTGTAACTGTACAGTGTAATATAATTGAATCGGTGACCAATCACAAGTAGACTGTCATCATCTACAAGCTTCATTTGCATTGCAAATCAGAGATATGCAAATGAAGGAGGGAAACACAGCACCTCTCTTCTCACTACACTATCTTTTGTGCTTTCCCTCCTTTCAGCTCTTTATTTACACTATAGCTTTACATGTCTTTACTCTCATAAATCTACATTAATCCTCTAGACGTTCATTTCACTCGTCTTAATATTTTTGACATAACCTGCTTAATGTACCTCCTGTACGTTTTTCTTTTAAAATATGAGCACGCTCCCTGCAATATTCCAGTTTCATGAATCAACAGTGTGACTCATTTAGCTTCATGTTGTTTGTCCTGCAAACTACAACTAAGAGCAACTTTACGATGTTTGATTTCAGCCCGTCTTTCTCAAAGTTTTCTGTTTACACATGAGCTCATGGCCCCTAGCTAAGCTTACATCAAATGAATCGTCATGTTGATTCACAGGTCAACTATTGTATTTATACTGTAAACAAGGCAGCAGGGAGAGTCACCCATGATGCCCCCCCCCCTACAAGGAGCTTCTCATTCAGAGACACTGTTGCTCTCTAGTGGTCAAACATGTGTTCTTTGAAAGCAAGCTCTTGCATTTATCTAAATTCAGTCAATTTCCACCCAACACTACACATAGGATATCCAACACATTGAATGTTGAATGAAAAATATTTATTTTATAAGTTCACAGTGCTCAGAGGTGAGGTGTCAGAACTGGATTGTACAGTCAAAAAGTCACATGGCAAGCATGTCCATAAACTCACCAATACCAGTATCAAATGTGGACATCATTGGCTTCATTTGAAATTCTATGATCATTTTTAACAATATGAACAACAATATATACTTAACCTTAAGACATCAATCTAAAATGTAGCTGGTAATACAAAAGCTTTCTGCTGCTATAAGAAGCTATCTGTGCTTAGCCATAATGGAAAGACAAACATCTTCATCTCAAAGACAACTGAAGAAAACACATCAACCTTGTTTGGACAAGCGAACATTGACACAATGTGCCGAAAGTATCCAGAGAAAATGGAAATGTTACAACTCCTACAACTCCACAACGACTGGATCACGAAGACCATGTGAAAAAGTGAAAAGCTCCAGATCCATCACTAAATGGACATAGTTAAAAGAATTAACAAAATACAGAAACAAATATATACATCTACATTTCTCATTGACTCAAACGAACATAGGCCAAAAACAAAAACAATACTTTATGATTACTTCTGTGTAATTTGGCACTGGGATGAACATCTTTCAAACCATGAGGCAACTGACTACCGTACCTAAAATATGTGTGAAGATTGACATTATAATATTATTATATTATTGGACAACACAGTTAAAACTGAGGTGGAACTGCACCACAGAATGAAGCGTTTGAGCACAGTGGTTACTTTTGAACATGCATTAAGACTGGGTAACATAAGGGAGAACATACGCCCACTATATAATGCGTAACAAATATTTATAGTTTACAGATATATTGGGATTTCTGGTTAAAAAAAAAATGTCCGCCATTTGTGTCGATTACAAGGTACTGTATATAACAAATCCCTTTTGGCCATTACAGTAAATTCTCAGATTTTAGGAGACAATATTTTCTTAACAAGATGATAAATATAGTGAATATGGTAGGATAATCACTACAGCATAAAAAACGGTATTAACACATAATAGTATACACATGTTATTGTGAAACCAGTAGGCCTCTGTTTTAATGACCCTGCATCAGTGCCGGTTATGAGAGGTATTGAACGCCACACGAGGCCTCTTGTCTTAACTTCAGTTTGTTTACACTTAGAAATAACAACATATTGATGTTTTAGGTAGCACACACAGAGAAGATTCATGGTTAATAACTGCTGGTACATGAGTCCTGTGAGATAATGACCACAGTGTGCACTACAGTGGTGCTTTGTTTAATATATCATTTATATCAGCTTCATACGGGTGATAACATAGATGTAAAAGTACAATTTTGACCATGAATTCAATATATATTATATTATTTATTATATAAAGAATGATGGTATATTGTGTTGTTATTTGAATGTTTTACAGCAGACGTATTATTGTAGAGAAAAGTTAACAAGTACAGTTATCGATCATAGCCGATTGGGACACTGAGCCCTCGTCTGCCGTGAAAAAAGTTAATCGTATCGTTATCGTATGAAAATATTAGACATAGAGGTATTTGCAATCACAAATTGACCCAAGTATGAACGTGGCAGATAATGATGTGCACACAGTGACTGTAGCAAATGTAAGAAGAAGGAAATATAAAAGCCTTAGAGGTACAGCAGTGAGGGCATCTCTCAGAACAGTGAATTGGCACCTTGCAAATGCTCACTGGGGGAAACACCCAATCTGACCCTGAGACTGTTCAAGATCAAACAGTAAGCAGGCTGGAGTAGTGTTTGGGCATGTGAGTTAAGTTACAGTACGCTGGTATGGCTGAAGAAAAACACGCAGAAACTGTAAAAACCAGTAAAGGTTAAAACATCATTAAAACATAAGATTAACAGACATTTGCTGTTAAGGCTGTGTTGTATATGAGCTGGTAAAGTGAGCATATCCGATAAATAAATGCACCAAATGAGTTGCTGCAAAGGTCACACAAGTGTAACAAGTTAAATGTCCCAATATCCATACTCCTCATAAAAAAGTACATTGCTTAGATTTTGGCATGTGAAGTGCTGAGGTTGAACATTAAAGTATGTACATATTATACCGTTCCTACACAAACATGAACACAAACACTTTAAAAACATGGCTTCGGTTTGTATTTTCAACATTGGCGAGTTCAGAAACATCCAGCTGACACTTGACATCAGCGTTCAAGCCACTTTGTGTCAGTCAGTACAGTAGTTGTATGAGTCAGTAAGTTACACGGTTAATAGAGAAATGTTGTAAAGTTTATAGTACCTTGACATACTAACTTTAAAAACGCACTTCAGTGAAAAGTAGAAGTGACACACTTGTATGAAAGAGCATCTAATAGAAGTGCAAGCTGTACAAAAAGAGAAAAAAGTGAAAAGAGTTTAATAGAGTTTGTGTTAAAAAGCAAGGCGGAAATATTCTTCTTTTTCTTCTTCCATTCATTTCTTCACCTTTTCCAGCACAGTCCAGCTGACTCGTACAAAAGTTTGGCTTTTTAAATGTCTTCGTTGTTCAAGCAGCATTGTGCAAATTCATTTATACCGTGTTCTGCCATCAAAAATAAACGTTCCAATTCACAGGGGATAAGAACGAGGCATGTCTTTTTTAAATTGGCAAATGTTTGCTAAGATTATCCATCCATCTGAAAGTTCAATCTTTCTGCGCCTTATTTTTCCCCTCTCAGTGCTACAGTCCTCTCCTCCAGCAGAGGGAGCCATTCCGTATGAATCGAAGCCAGACTCCCACTCCCTGCAGCCTATGAACAACAGGCTGTGGGAGAAAGACTGCTGAAGGACAAACAAGGAGGTTGATACACACTCCTCTCCTCCGTTTACGAAGGAAGATCAATCAACTCAATAGATAGGAGGAAAATTAAGAGATGCCTTCCACCTCTCCTCCTCCTTCTCCCCCTTCAGGCTCTTCTGCTTGTGAGTCTGAAGGAGTGTTTGCGTATCGCAGGCGGCTCCAGCGCGCCTTGTTCTTGTGCATGTGACCCGTCATGGTGTGGCTGAGGGAGCTGGGCTCAGTGAAGCGGTGCCACTCGTCAAACAGAGGCTCCACGATGTAGGAGATGAACCCTGAGAGAAACAGGACAAAGGTCAGTCATCTCAGAGTCAGTCGAGGGATATAATAAGATAAGATATTTGATGAAAACACAGTTCTTGGTGCTCCTGGTACTCACCTATCTGAACGGCTGGCACAGAGTCAGCCTGCTGGTTACACAGAGGACTGATCTCCATGTCAAACTTCCTCTCCAGGTCTCCTGTCGGGTACATTCAGAAAACACTCTCCAGATGAGCAAAAGAGAAGCCATAACAACACATGATGCAGCCTATCATAACATATTCAGGGTGGTATCTTTACTGATAAATGCCAAAAGAGTAATATAAGTATATTTTAAACTGCTTAGCGTCAACATTTGCCTTTATCATTTTCAGTATGGATGCACCAATGTAATTTTACCGACCGATTACCATTCCCGATTTTATAAAAGTCTCTCCTGCCGATTTTCTTACTAAAGTGACACCATACAAAAACAAATTAAAAGCCAATTGTATGTTCATAATAAAACATTGACTTAAATAACTTACATTCTCTCCAAAACTGCTTCAAGGACCTTCTTGTTGTCAAACCTTTTTTTTAAGGTTGACCTCCAGGGATTGATACAAGTTTTATGTCTTCCTTCACTCGCAATGAAAATGTCAACATGTTGTGTACGCGACGTCAAACTATCTTATTAACGTGTAACTTCACCGGCAACCAAACGTACAAACCATGGCTGATCAGCTTACAATCAGCCCGTTTCGAGGGGTGGCCGGTCGGGCGATGCTCTTCAAATGTTTGACTTTTTTACCAAAATGAATGTGAACAGCTCTATTAGCTCTATGAAACCTGATGTACTTACAGTATATGATTCTGTTTTCTTCAAGTTTGTATCTTGTTGGTCGAATGCACTTATTGTAAGTCGCTTTGGATAAAAGCGTCAGCTAAATGCAATGTAATGTAATGTAATGTAATGAACAAAGACCATTTCTGAGAGGATCTGCTTCCAAGTGCTATTTTCGACTTGGAAGCTTCAAGTGCTCTGATATATCCTACTTAGTGCTAGATAATACAACGGTGCATGAAAACCAAACAAACATATATGTCAGGAGGCTATTTAAGTCTAATATTCACGAATGTATTTGGGAAATGTGGTCTTTATAGGAGTAGTTGCTAAACAAATATGTGAAAATGAGGCTGTAAATCATTTCCACTGTGTGCAAACACTACTAGTAGTGAAAATGCTATATGCAGTCCCACTTAAAAGACAAAGTAGTTTCTCTTTTTTTCTTCTTTAAACACACTTTACTCACCCTGCCTGTAGAATTCCTCACACACCCTCTCGCTCCACTGTCTGCTCAGCTCCCAAACCCGACACGGATTACAGACGTCAGCACACTTCAGAGCGATCTGTAGCAGAGACAGAGATTATACAAACTGTGCAGCTACGCTAGCTTTACTGCAGGACTTTAATAAAACCGTATTGTACCGTCAGTGCAGTGTGAGGGACGTACCTGCAGGATAAAGTGTCTGTGTGAAGCCAGCTGAAAGTCCAGGTCCTGGTTGTCCAGATGTTCTCTGAAGGTGGACAGGAACTCGTTCTGCCGGCTGATGTCTGTGGCGAGGATGAGAGAGCCCAGCTGCTGCTCGATGTCCTGCCTGCAGAGGAGAGGGGAGCACCACTGAGACCAAACATCAAAACCACTGATACCTGATCTAATGTATTCTAAATCTACACAAACAGATGTGTTTTTTGGGAGATGCTGTCTATTTCTTTAGTAAGTTATCATAGGCTGCCCTTTCTACATACTTTAAAAAAAAAAAAAAAGTCCTTAATGAATAGCTGTGATGTCACATGCATCATGATTACTGACACAAATCAAACAAGCTGATGTGTGTAGTTGTGTGTGTTAAAACTCTAAGCAGGTGCTATGTTGCCTAATAAGTTACAAAGAACTATAGAGCAGGAACACCAAAGTTATGTTTGCAGTAGGTGTGTCTTTACAGAACAGTTTGAAGGTTTGAGACTCAATCACCAAGTTGACATTTGATTTATAATTCAATGTTTGGACAATGCAAACCTTTATTTTCTCGGATTAAAACAGGTATTTCTGCAAAGTTTGAGATCAAGGTAAGGTTACGTTAAATTATTGGTACAATTTCATCATATTAAAATTACATTTAATTTAAATTATGCTTTTATTCCAAGCGACTTAAAATAAGTGCATTCAACTATTTGTAAGATATAAACTCAAAAAAGCAGAGATCCTGCAAGTACAGTATATTAGTTTCCAATAAGACAAACCATTTTAAGTGCTATGTAAGGAAGTTATAATTCTTATAATACATTTTTTTTTTATAATTTCACAAGTTGTCATGGTTTGTATACTACAGAAGACCTGGATACACAACAGTGCTGAAGTCAAATTATTCAATAAGAGTAGTGAATCCAAATCAAATATCTGTTCATGTTGTGTGTTTGTGTCAAAGTTCTTACGAGATGTCAGCAGGCATGTGGGACAGCAGTCCGGACTCTCGCAGCATGCCCACGGTGGATCTCCAGTGGTGACTCTCCAGCACAGACGTGTTCTGTGGAGACACACTCAGTTACAGGCCGAACACCACAACTATCACACAGTTTAGCCCGAGTACTGACACACGTGAGCCCAGCTGTGTTTACCTGGTAGAGGGAGGCCAGGTGGTGTCGGGTCTTGATGAGGAACGGCTGGTTGACTCCGGGATGGTCCACGTCGTGAGCGGCTGCTGCCATCAGAGCCAGGAACACGTCCAGAGGACTCAGCTGCTCCGCCAGCTGCAACACACCAAGGTTCACAGGTCATGTTGTTCCTAATGTAGGAGGGACTCTTGATAATAACAATAAAACCTTACTTTTAAATCACTTTTTATACAATGTTGCACATAACACAAGATAGACAGATCATGACATGAAAGACATTCGAATCAAGTCAGAGGGTGAAATATATTGGCATACCCCAACCCTCCCTTATATTGTAAAGCGACTTTGAATCAGAGAAAAGCGCTATATAAATCAAATGTATTATTATTATTATTATTATTATGTGTACATGCGTGATTTCAAGGAGTTAAAATAAGTTTGCAATATAATCAATAAAATAAAAAAATCCAAAAGTGAACCACTGCTAACCAACTCAAAAAGCAAAGCAAGACAGATATAAGACACACTTCATAAAACAATTGAAATAAATTAAATATATATATACAGATAATAAAGAAACACATTCAAATATTAAGATGCCATGAAGAGCTTATAATTGTTTAAATACCAAATAAAAAAGTATATTTAAAGGTGGGGTAGGTGATTTTGGAGAAACCAGCTCGAGTGCGTTGGAATTTGAAAATACACAGCCGGAGAAAATCTGCCACTTCCTTACAGAGCCCCTCCTCCAACACACACGAACGCGCACGTGACCAATGACACAGATGGAAGGCTGACAGGCAGGTAGGCCATCCAGTTATTTTAGCCGGGCCGGCTAAAATGATTGGTCGTGCTTTTTACAGTACTACTGCTTCCACAGATGACATTTTTTTATGGATTTTTTGTCAAAGCATTTAAGATATTCATTGCTATCGGGATGTTAAGAGCATTCCATGGAATATAACAAAAAGTGTATCTCGAGCCGGTTTCTCAAACTTACCTACCCCACCTTTAATTCTGACATTGAATAATTTTACCTTAAGGTGAAACAATACAAAACAAATATTGGGTTTTGATATTGATAACAGACATATATTTACGTCACAGGTTGAGGATAAATGCTTAATAGTATGTAAAAGGACAAAGTGGCGTATTGATCAGACAAGCAGCATCTTCTATTTAGAGTGTGTATGCTGTTATCTAGATAAACACTGGTGTGTTGTGATGTATTCAATTTATTTACGTAAGTGCTTTTAACAAAATAGGTGCATCACAAAGTGCTTTACAGAGCAACAGATGACACAAAAGCAATTACTGTATGGAGGGATAGATACTCTTAATCCTGTTAGAGGGCTTCAGGGGTCTCTGCAGGCGGAGGATGGATGTGTGCTCGGCTCTAAGTGAGTGGGAGTTCTCCCTCGGGAAGGAAGGCTAATAGAATATGTCAAGAAGGAGCTCAGGCCCATTGAAACCTTACTGTGTGTGTGTGTGTGTGTGTGTGTGTGTGTGTGTGTGTGTGTGTGTGTGTGTGTGTGTGTGTGTGTGTGTGTGTGTGTGTGTGTGTGTGTGTGTGTGTGTGTGTGTGTGTGTGTGTGTGTGTGTGTGTGTGTGTGTGTGTGTGTGTGTGTGTGTGTGTGTGTGTGTGTGTGTGTGTGTGTGTGTGTGTGTGTGTGTGTGTGTGTGTGTGTGTGTGTGCGCGGGAAAGAGAGGTGAGTGTGATTCTCGATTACCTTTGGCTCCTTCAGGTAGCAGTACATGGCTTGGGTGACATCAGCTGCATGGACAGCATTGTGATAGGGATTCTGGAAGTGGTAGTCCTCTTGCACCATGCCTGGCAAGACAGATTAAGGTTAAACCCTATTTACATTTTGACTGTGATTGTCTGAGCAGTGTCAATGTAGTATATGAATGTATGTCTTATACAGTATGTTGTATTGAGTGGTGTTTAGTAAACATGAGTATCTGGGCCTCCGGTGTCCTCTCGTGGACTTTACTTCAGCACGTACACTGAAGTGCATTCCAATGATGACCCAGAGGCATTCATTGAATGATGTAAGGTTATGTAATATCTGAGACTGTAAAAAGAGATTGTATTGGATGTGTTGAGGCCTTTCTTGCAAGTTAACGCCCAAAATCATATGCTGATGATGTGTGATGAGCATTATCCAATCTACACACAAATAATTAAGCTTGATGTTTTAATCCACATATTGACCATTATACAATTATCAGCTCTCAATTCATAACATTGTGTTGCTATGGGGAAATAATTGAATTCATTTTAAAATCAGTACAAAGCGGTTTTAATTTAAGGATCTACTCTAGTCCTCTGTGCAAAAATGTGTAAAGGTGGAGTAAAGTTACTTCAACAAAATGTAAATGATGCCTGTTACAAAAATAAAGATAACACTGTAAAACTGGTATTTTTCATTGATATTATAATGCTTGACATTACTTTGACTTGGTGTGGATTATTGTCTATTGATAACAATATCTAGGCTTTTCTTTAAGAAAAAACATTTAAAAAAAAGATTTTAGTAGTTGTGAATGTTGAAAAGATAAGAATCTAGATTCTAGAGTGTTAAACCGCACACACAGAAAGGACATATAAGGACATACAAATGCTCGCTTAGTTTCCATAACAAAAAAGGTTTTTGTCTCCAGCTGTTCTTATAACAATATGGTAGGCTCTTAAAGTCAAACTATAAGTGTCCACTTTTAAATCTATTTTTATTGGAAACATGTCGGGACAGAGGGTGGATGTGTGATGCGGACACTTGCTTGCCACTTACCGAGAAACCTGTGTAGTTTGACCATGTCCAGCTGGAAGTGGTGAATGAGACCGTAGACATTGAAGAGATGGCACATCAGAGTCACCAGGCTGTTGCCTACAGCGCACAAATTCAATATATATTTAGAGCATTTTGAATCTAAAATCAAACTGTAACAAAACAAAAACAATGCTATCATAAAGTTAAACTGGTGAAGGAATATGGTGGGTGAGGTAAAACATCTGTTTAACTTTGAATAGTAGAAAAATCCCTCTTACCATTTGTAAGACGATCGAAGAGGAAAATATCAAAGTTCCATGTGCCGACTTTAGACAGCATGTGCTGAAAAGAGAGAGTTTTCAGAACTGATTTGTGATTTACACCTGATATATTCACACATCTACAATAGTTTGCTATAAGTGTGTTCTTACTGCGGCTTGTCCCAGGTAGTTTTTGTCCAGTAGGTGCAGGGACCCCGGGGTGTTGGGCATCGCCCCCCTGAGCAGCCTGGAGGCGTGGCAGTACCTCTGAAAGCTCAGCTGACGCTTCACCTTCCTCCTGGTGCCGGACTCTACCCCCCCCTGCTGGGCACTGGCTGAAAATACAAATACATTAACAGTCCGTGCAGAGTACCTGACAAGGAAGTGCATCACTGAAATAAAAGCATCTTTATAAACAGTTTTAAGATTTCATAGATTGTTTGTAATATATATTGTAAACATTTTACGCATCAAGTTGGCCAACAGCAATAATTCATTAATAAAAAGTTCCTTGCATGTTGCATTCAGCGCACCGAAAATCAATGGCTGATTCTGTCTAAAAGAACACATTTTTAGCCTTCAAATTCCTCTCTACAAAATCAAATGAGCAGTTAATATTTGACAGTGGGTATATCTGAATAAATGGGTTTTGGCACAGATTTACATTAAAAAAAACGTATTTTTCTAAGAAAACATTAGATGTGTTCTGTTAGTCAATTGGTAATTGCTGCTATTGATAAATGGAGTATATTGTTTTGTATTTAAATAGGTTGTAAGTAGGGATGGGACGACAGGATTTATCGCAGACCATGAAAGAAAATAATAAAATGTAAGGGAAAGTGATTCCAGTATGTTCAGTGTCATTTTAACAGTTTAAAGCATTTTTGAATGGAATAATATTATGAATCACAATTATTTTAGACAGGAAAATCGTCACACGAACATGTGATCGTCTTATGCCTCGACAGTAAACTTACTTTTGAGGATTCTCAGGTCAATCAGCGGGTAGGAGCCTCGTCTCTCAACCAGCAACACACCAGCATGACCAGTGTTCACTCTGCCATCAGCTGCACACAGACACAAAGAAAGACAGAAGCAATTATAAATACATGTTGTTATATCAAGTGAAGTAGATCCGAAGAAACGGAGGAACAAAGCGAGCTGAAGTTTGATGTGTGAACGATGAGTGGAGCAGCGCGCGGGATGAGAGAGGACAACGGGAGCAAAGTGTTCCCTGGTTGTAGATGTTCACATAAGCCTCATAAAAGCAGATTTAGAGTCTCTGTTAGACCCCGCCTCTCTGAAACAAGAGGATCTTTGACATCGCTGCGTCACCAGGACATCATGCATCTGGTCCAACTTTGCCCGAGGAGATGGGATGTCACGCCACTGTGCAGCTGTTATGGTGTCGCTTTGATTCTGTTCCTGCACTTATTAATGATGTTCTTACCGTACCGTCACACTGATGCCGATTGGTCCGAGTCATTCATTATAAAACATGGGTGAGGGCTCCGTGTGTGTTGTAACTAAGGAGCAGCGCTCTTCATTTCGGCTAGAAAAAAACTAAGGTTTTCTATAAGAGTTTGAATGTAAAACAAGAAAAGGGCTGGGCGGTTTAATATTATATCAATATTGTTTTACACGACTAGATATAGTCTGACATTTTGGATACTGTGGAAGCTCATAAGTGGGTTTTCCTTGTTTTAGAGACTGGATTCAATTAAAGGGATGACATGTTCTGCACATAACAGAGTGTTCCCACTTAGTGATTGAACAAAAGAAATGATTACGTATTAAAATGTCATTGTGTTCATATTTTGTAAACCAATAGTCAGCCCTAAAAAAATATTGCAAAATTGACATAGGAGTTTTTAATAATAAATATTAAGATGTTTTTCCTACATATTTCTTAGCCTAAATAAAAAACAAAAACATTTTTTAGTAACATTTTTGACATGCTGAAAGTGCATTTTGTTACTTAATGGATATAAAGCATTTTTTATCTATACACATTTTTCCTGCAGGGAAGTACCCTTCTTTTTTTTCTCATCCTTTTTGTGAGCACATATTAAACAGGAGAGGCCACACAGCAGCACAGAGTCCTTCAACACCGAATACGTCCTCTATTTAAAATGCACAACTCACACACATCCAAGAACAAGACAGAACAGAACTGAGGTCCAAAGCACACACAGTACCTTTTCACTTGAATAAACTGAAAACTATGGGAACACTGAATAATTTACAGATCAGATGTGAGGAACTGGAGCGTATTTTGTCCCAGGAGTTACCCGCTAACATCACCTCTGTGACTTACAGCATCTAAACCACCTGTTAATGGGGCTGGGGTCACCGTGGTAACTCCCTCGGGTTGCCAGATCTTGAATTGTGAGTTGCCAGTGTTGCCAGAGTGGAGGAAAGTGTTTTTTGGTTGTGTGTGTGTGTTGCCCAGGATAGGCAGCTATGCATAAAACATACAGTGGAGAAGTGGCATCATTCCTTATTTATTATGCTTTGTAAAGTTCGACATACAAATATAAACAGCTTCTGGGAAGTGGCTCAGCCTGGTGAAGTGAGGCAGAAGAGTTTGAGCAAGAAAGAGAAGAAGAGAAAGAAAAAAGAGAGAAAGCCTGTTTGTTTTTTTACCTGTGGGTGGAGGCACAGAGAGGGAAATACATAACATGGAACCCCCCCCCCCCCACCCACCCCAAAAGAAAAGACAACCCTCTGGCTCTCCGCCTTCACTCGTGCTCATTTTCATCAGTCCTCTCCTCCCGTCTCCAGATGCTTCTCGCTCTCTTTCTAACCCCTCAATCTTCCCATCATCCTTCATTTCTTCCTGGTTAACAACAACACCCCCTTTCCCCCTCTCTTCATTACCTTCCTCTCCCTTTAACGCTGTGTGGTAAATAGGTCATTGTCTCTGTGCGGCGCAGAAGTGGGTCATTTACGATGAATCGGTAGGAAAGGATGTTTGTAGACGGCGATTGCACGTGTCCCATCATGTGGTCGTGAATAAACACCAACTGCACTTACGCATATTCGCAAAGGAGGTTCTATCTGAGATTGCACACATGGTGCACAGAATCTGTGTAGTAGGGCCTTGGCTTTCTAACAAGCAGCCCACATTCCAATGATATCCTGTTATAGGATAATTGCAATATAATTCAATTTAAAATAAACAGATACTGGTTACATTACAGGGGCTGAAAGCAGTGACATTTGGGTATTTTTACTTTAAAATTAAAGTACGATTTGCCGATTAGCAATACAAGTTGCCGGTTAATTATCTAACAATTGACTAGTCGACTAATTGACTTATCATTTCAGCTCTATTTTAACAGTTTACTTTTTTATTGTCACATCTGAACACAAAACGCAGAAAAGTTTTAATAAATGCAGAACTTTACAGGAAATGGGCCTTCATATATATATATATATATATATATATATATATATATATATATATATATATATATATATATATATATATATATATATATATATATATATATATATATATATATATATACATTTTTTTTTTCAGTATGTAAACCTATTTTATCCAGAGAGCTCCTCTTCATTAGTGATATATGTTTTAATGTTAAAAAAGGCAGACATTTAATACATTTTTTTAAATGTGTGGAAGATGGAATAAGCCATTTTCCCTGTAGGCCTGGGGCACGATGTGAAACTCTTAAACTGTGTACTTTTTCTACCTAAACGTTCCTATAAATACTGCTCTTTTTCAGCCCTTTAGACCCTTGGAAATGTCATGATGACTCACTATCACCGCTGACGGGTTATCTCATCGTGTTTTGACACATGTTTTATGCAGTGAAATCAAACAGCGTGCAGATAGCCGCTCTGTAAGGAGTCACAGTACGGATGAGGTCATCGCGATGCTGAGGGAAAGTCACCGAACAGCGTACACTTGTCCGTTTTCCACCTTATGAGTCAATGCTCGCGCGCAGGTAATTCCCCACAGTATGAATCATCACTAAAGCGTGTCAAGATTTACAAGTAGATTATTCCTTCGCTGTTATCTGATTACTGATTAAAGTGTTATTGTAAGTCTTGTTAATATGCTAAAATCAAAGTCATCGTTAAAATGTAAATCATATCTTTACATTGTCAAGTATAAGATTAACCTATTTGCTGCCATTACTGTTGATTTTAAACATTGGTTTAAAGTAAAATAATCCATTCTCTCTGGAACTCATCACAGCAGACTATCAGCAGTGTTACTTTGCGTCACCAGTGTTGTGTTCCAGACAGACGGACTCGGCTTGATTGATGGCGTCACATCAGTGTCATCAGTTTCATCAGAACAGCTCGGCAGATGGTAGCACACTGTCATTAGAGCACAAATCCCTCACTCCACGGTCTACTCTGACCGGCGTCTCAAAAGCTCTTAACTTCGCCTCGACCCACATCACTTACAAACACGCAAAATACAAACACGTCCAAAATGAAAACGTGACAAAGATTCAATAGTCAAACAATCAAATGCAAACAAAAACAAGGCCGGAAAACCCTTATTCAAAGAGTGACCTACCAATAAACCAGCACTATTTTGATAAAATAAATTATATACAAATCAATGAAAATCCTGTAGGAATGTGCCCAAATAATTCTGATGAGAAGCCACACTCTGTTTTCTACCATAGCTGTGATTTCATTACAGTTAGCGCTCCAAATGAGAACGTACATTAGACATTAAGTATTCATGAGATACCAACTCCCTGTAGATCTACTGTACTTGTAACATGTATTATGGGCAAGACATTTACCTTCCAGATGAGCGCTCCCGTCTTCTACGCCTTGTTTCACCTCCTCTACCTCCTCTTTCTCTGATTCCACCCAAGTGCTCGTCTGGCTCTTCTCTGGCCCCCGGGGGCCCCCCCTGCGAGCCCTCCAGACGGCCCTGAGCTGCCGTATGAGAGCCGGCAGCTCCAGGGCCAGCGAGAGGCCCCCACAGGTGATAGGAGGTGTCCTTAGAGACCCCCAGACTGGCGGGCTGGGAGCCTCATCCGGACAGACCCCCACATCGACCCCGAGACTGGTGTCCCGCATCCGGAGATCGGGACCCCAGAGCCCCTCCAGGACTGGCATCCTCGCACCGAAAGACAGCGGATGAATGACAGCGAGGTGCAAGGAAGGGAAAGATCAAAGTAAAAAAGGGGGAGACAAAGAAGGATAGTGAGTAACAGAAGGGGAGAAGAAGAGAGAAGAAACTCACCGTCCATAGGTGAGGAAGAGGAGAGACAGAGAGATAGTAACAAGTCAGAATGTAGGACAGAAGAAGAAAGACTGCTCAGTAGCAGGAAGACAGAGTGACAGAGGAATTAGAAGCGAATGGAAGCAGAGTGACAGAAAGACTCGGAGGGTGAGGAAGCAGGAGAAACAATGTAAAGAGGATCCGTCTCTTTCCCTCTCACTGACTGTCTGCTCCCTCCTTCTGCCGCATTCCCTCTCCTCTCTACGGTCTTACTCGCGCCGGTGTTGTTGTGGAGTCAGAAGCCCCTCCTCTCCTCTCTCACTCATATGTTGCTACACCGACAGCAGACCAATAGGATGTGTGCGAGCGACGGAGGGGCTTGGCTCCACGGTCTCACGGTCAGGTGATGTCAGTGAGAGTCATTTCATCCTCACACAAAACCTTTTTTGTCTAATATTAAAAGCTAGAGTGGGTAATGTATGAAACACACCTTTCATCTTTTGATTTGTTTCGATACGACCAGTGCCTTTATTGGATTGACAGCGATGAAAGAGGGATGACACAAATTGTCCCAGGCCGGATTCAAACCCAGGTCCACTGCATGGGAACAGAAAGCCCCAGTCCATGGTAAAAGAGTCTTTATATCCGGACAATAATTCATAATTCAAATGCTTTGAGGGGGAAAGAAAGACAAAAATCCAGTTGATGAGGTCGGGGCAGGACTCTATCCTTTCACTTCATTTTGTCCAAATTAAATAAGATAAGAAGTACTTTATTGATCCCAATTTGGGACATTTTTGTGTTGCATAAAAAGACATGGCATTGTACAATAAAAATGTAAAGACTAGAAATAAACAAGAAAGTAGAAAATGTACATGTTGAATTACAAAATGTACAGTAACAAATATAAAGCAAGTTATTATTTATACATAAGTATGTGAGGCATGGAATATTAAGCATTACATTGAATATCAATAGAAAAGTAAAATATGTAGCAGAGAGTTTATATTTATATGTTTACATTATTTATGATTATTGTGGGGGCTTTGGAAAGAGACCTAAAGGGAGGGGCTGTCAGAGTGGCCAACTTGATGACATTCCTGTTAGATGAAGTGACCGATGGAGAGAGTGCTGCTTTTGTGATGCTTTAGTTCATTAGATAAAACAGACCAAAATGTATAAATACTTGTTTTTAAAAAGGGGCTGTACCAAGCTTTTACAATTTTTTCATCATTTCCATAGAGTATTATTTACTAAACAAATACAAGCTCCTTTACACACTTATTTCCAGGTACACTGAATCAGTAAAAGAATGTCGAACTTTCATATACTATATGTAAAAAGTGTACTGTGTCCCCTGGTTTTAAACTACCATCTCGAAGCTCTGAGTTTTTTGTTAGCCAGAATTGACACATAAATGATACAGAGGCGGAACGTCACTACCTGTCTAAAAAGACCTTAATGCAAGCACCATTGAATAAACAGTAAACAAATCCAGAACTTATCTAAACAAGATTTCCACTTTCTATCAACTCCAATTTAATCCCAAAAAGTCATACTTGTATTTGTGCACTTTCGAGTGTCCTAAAATGAACTGCTTTGAACTCAGATTAACTTAACATTTATTGGAGACTGAAAACAATCTCTTCCTGTTGTCCTTATATATATATATAAATATCACAAACAAACCCAAAGGCTTTCCTGTGGCGGTGACAACCAGACATCAATAAACACGAACAGAATGAGGTGATTGTAAGACCTGTGTGTTCCTCTTCGCATGCAAATCATCATAGAGGATGTACTGTTACAAGCATTACATTTTTCCACGGAACTATTCCCTTGAGAAAAAGTCACATGAAGACTAAATCACTGACACCCCCACAGACACACACACAGGCGCAGTCAGACACGTAACCTTGAACGTCAGATATCAGACACAAGGAGTTGATTGCAAGAAATCATGAGACAAAGAGAGTTTGGATAAAAGATACATTCCGTGAGAAAGCGTGAGAAGCATGTACAGCACGGTTATTCAGTGGAGAGTCATGGCTGTGTACTCAATGAACTCTGGTCTTGTGGTAGCTTTGACGCCTCAGCAGATGAGGCTGTACAGTAAAATATTCTATTATAGTCTATGTAGTGATGCAATGCGTTATATATCATATCTAAAACACGGTATCTCAAATGACAAACAGCAACAAATTGATTTATCGGACACGGTCGACATGATTGATTCCAATTTCTTCCTTTAAGCTTTGTAGGTACTTTAGGATTATTTAAACCTACACTGACACGTTGTTGTATTACAACTATTTTGCCACTATGAACATTTGTTGGTGCATTTCCTGTGGGGTTGTTATATACAGACTATACGTTTGATGACAGGTAAATTACAAGTCACATCATTAGACAATAGGGTTGGACAATTGGACGAATAATATGAGCAATTGGCCGAGTACATCGCCGGTTTAGTTTTTGGTTTTCGTAGTTTTATCTTGCTAAATTATCGCTCGGTCTCCAAAGAAAGAGTGAGAGCCTCCGCTCAGCGTGCAGCTAACTGGATGAATTGAGGGGTTCATTTGAACTAAGAGCTGGTGATTGACAGAAAAGGACAATAGGTAACCAAAATGTTTTTATTCTGTTTATGTCAAGTTTGAATGAAGTGTTTTTTTTATTTATTAACAAGGCAATTAAGCTAGGGTTAGTTTGGTGAAGAACTGACATTTGGATTTGAAGGTTTACAGTTTAAATTAAAATGATGTAAGAATATTTCCACACATTCTTTTTTTTTCTCTAGTTATGCATAAAGCAAAAAACAGAATACTGCCAGAAAATATACAAAACTTTTCTTTTTTTATTTCAGAGGATGAGCATCATAGGAGGAAATTACATTGTAAGCATCAGTTTGCACGTACTACTTTAAAGCAGATGTGTGTCTGTAGTCGGCGTAAAGAAGTGGAATTATTTGCCGAATGATTTAAAGGGCTGTAAGAAAATGTTTATGTTTAAGAAAATGTAAGAAAGCTTAATTAGACTTTTGATTGTGTTCTGGTTTTATGTTTCAGTTTTTGTAAGCAACAGTGAATGAAAGAATATTGCTTTTATTTTACTTTTTTATGGTTATTTCATTTCTTTTTTTCTTTTAAGAAGGGGCAGGTCAAATAAGATTTTCTTCGCCCTGCTCCTTTCCAACATGCGCTATATAAAACAAACAAACAAAAAACAACCATTGTAAGTGTACATGTTTTGTAAAGTGTACATGTTTTGTTTTAATATTACTTCCATGTGTGGAATAAACAAATAAATAAATCAATCTTAAAAATGTTTAGTACTACAAAGAGCTAAGAGATCACTAGAAACATCTAACTTGTGTCTGTACCAACATAAAACTGCTGTTGCCCTTTACTATAACACAGACCGAATACGGTTTAAGCGAATGACAGGCAGCAACAGTATCACCAGAAAAAGTGATTAGTGTATTTAATCACACCACACGCCGTTTGTATCAGCAGCAACTAGACTAATTCCAACTTGGTACATAAAGCCATGACGACTCTAAACAGCCCTACAACCATGAAAGGGTAAAAACAGCCTTTCATCAGTACAAAGTATCGCAACAGTGTCGATGACAAAGGAAACTATTATTTTTCTTGTTGCCGGCGAAAATAGCCATCTGTGTGACTTTTATAGATGAGAACATTGGACATAGCTTGGAACAAAATAAGTGCAGGAAACAAACCTAGCTGTGTGAAAAGAAATGAAATGAGAAAAATATGGATGGCACAGAGCGGCCCTGAAGGACTGCCGGCTCCAAAACAAACCCTTATTTTTGATTCTCCCTAATGATGCTACTTGACACATTTTTCTGGCAGAAAAAAGTGGGTCAGTGTCATGTCTAAAGAAAACATTGGCAAGTGTTTGTATCTGTGTTTGCGTTTATATTTCAGGGAACATTTAAACAAGCTTGACATAATGAAGATGTAGCGACATTACAAGGTCTTAGACTGCAGTTATGATAGACAGCTACCCTGTATGGCCTCCAGTCCAGACACTACTTGAAAAAACATGGCATGAGTAAAACTAAACATTTACTCTTACTGTATCGAGTAACACTGTTATCCAACAAAACCCATTCAACCAGACAGTAGAGTGTCTGCATAGACAGCAGAAACATACCTCAGTGTTGACAGAAAAGTATACAGGGAAATTATATATAATAACAATCTTCTGCACTGCGGTATTCAGGTCAGTTAGCGCTTACTTACCCAGCATGCAAACTTGTATGGCATCCTGCTCCGACCTTTTAAGTGCGACTGCTCCACACCTCTGTGGAAGAGAGAGAGGGGGAGAGAAAGAGAGAGCAGCAGGATTACTATTACAACACCCCGAAATACACACTGCTATCTAAGAGCATCAATGAACCTCGCTAAGGAAATAGAAACTGTGTGAGAAGTCACGGTGACCCTCCTCACACACATAAACCCCTCTCGCACTGATGTGCAAGCCCCCACTGTTTCCACACCAAATCTCATCTTTACTATTCTTTCCCATGCGAGCCAAATCGAGAAAAACATAAATTATGATGCTAATTCTGAGTGATTGTGATAAAAGAATGCAAATAACTTAATCTTAAGGCCATAACATGATAATCAGTTTGACTTATTTATTTAACTTTGGTGACAACTCACCAGCTGTTGTGGCGACGTTTGAGAGTTTCTGACCTTCATGTTTGGCTCAGGGTTCTTAAATCTTTCTCTATCGTTCTTAAGATTTTTTTTATTAAAAAGGGGTTTTTGTGTCAAGATCAACTCACAAGTTTTTGTTTTTTAAAGAACATTTTGGTAACAAACCAATGTACTGTAACAGATCAAATCCACTCAATTGTACATCCCATTAATATTATGTTTCC